ATCTGAGTTACTATGAGCTATTCAGCCTAGAATTATGGTCCTTTCTATATTCTAAATAACTAAGTAGAAGAGTATTTGGCCTTGTCATCTTTCTATTACTAGTTATATATTCCTGCATAAGATAAGGTCCTTTATTATTATCCTACAATGGCATGGGAAAAATTAGGCAATGACGTAAAGATTTGTGAGACCAATATGTAAGTTTATTGTTTAGTGAGGTTAATATCATAAATGGTTTCATACTGTGTTAAGGAAAAGAATTTCCTTGTGATTAGTGACTTGTGGGTCCATCTTGTGTTACCTCACAGAGATATCTAATTTTACTCAGGGTTATTCATTTGAACATGGTTGGTAACTAAACATGTTTTATTTTAAACAACATATTTCCAAACACTGTTTTGAAATAGATTACGCAATGTATTTATACATCCCATCCCAGCATCTTTTGCTATAATTGAAGTTAATTTCATAACTTCTAAATGAATTCATTTTTGTATTAGAAATAATTGTCTTATAAAAAGTGTTCTATTATTAGTTCTTTAGCACAATCTCATCCTTCTGAGAGGAATGATCAGATAAAAGTAAATAACTAGAGTAAATAACAAAATAAATGGAGTGAAAATTTTGTTTATATATATATGTATACATATGCACACACATATTTGTCTATGTATCTATGTATAAAACACAAGATCAGATAATTATATATGCCAAATTTAAAAATTGGGTTCAGAATTTTTTAATGTTTCAGTTGTTATTTGAATTTCTTAAACAGATCAACATAACAATTTGCTAACTTATGTCACAAGGCAATTATGGGTAATAAACTAAAGTTCCTTCCCTTTCTGGGACTTTAATCCAAGGTGAAGAAGGAAATAGATAACACCAGAATTAAATGATGGTGGAGTCAATGTGAATTTAAAAGGCACTTTTTAGCCCACATAACTACACTGGCATTCATAACCAAAAGGGCTCATTCTACAACTCAGATGCTCATAGATTCTTTTCTTTTTTTTGGCTAGGCAATGGGGTTAAGTGACTTGCCTAGGATCACACGGCTAGTAAGTGTCAAGTATCTGAAGCCAGATTTGAACCCAGGTCCTCCTGACTCCAGGGTCAGTGCTCTATCCACTGCACCACCTATCTACCCCTCATAGATTCTTTTAGATTCTCCTTCCAGCCTGTTGCTGGCTGGTTGAGATAAGGATAGGAGCACCAAGGAGTACAGAAAAATGTAAATTCTCTGGTCTAGAGGTTCCCAATTTGATGTTGTTATTAGAACTATGAAGTTTGAGTTACCCCTCACTGCTTAACCTGAGTATTGGCAAAGCAAAGTTGAATTGTATTAAGACCTATTTTGCAAAAGAGTTTAATAGGAAAGAGGGTCTCTGTGAGTGACATGAACTGGAGAAGCAAATCCACAAGAAGCTGCTTTCAAACCCCATCCATTCCAGCATGGCTAAGAGGATAAGAGGACTGAGTCAAAAGATGTTTCAGAAACCAGACAGCTATGTGAGATGACACCTCTGAGACCCAAGATGTGATGGACTGATGAAATAGCGGGAATGGGTTTCTGAGAAAGAGACTGTGCCATTGTCTTTTGTAAGGCACATTTGCCAAAGGGAATTGCCCTCAATGGCTCCTGTCAATGAATAGGGTCAATTTCTCTCCTTCTTCACCTCACATTATTTTTTATTATAAGCCCTATGCTTAAAAACCCTTGATGAAGTATTTGTCATATCATTAGTAATTCATTGAGGTCTCTCAAATGAATCAAAGGGGGGATGAGAGAAATCAATATTATACTATTATATTAATAACTAATTATTAATTTGTGATCCTCCCTTTTTCCTCTTATTTCTGTTAAAACCCATGTCTTGAAAAGGTCAGTTAGCCTCTGAAGGGCATGGTTGAATGATGAGATTTGCTCTTAGTCTTTAAGGTACATGCTCATTAGTTGAGTGGGAAACTCTATCTCTCAGGGTTTTCATTCATCTCACACATGCACACACACACAGTGTGTGTATATACACACATATATGTATATATGTGTGTATATACATACATATATATGTGTGTGTGTACACGATATATACTTAATGTCAACCAGACCAAAACTAATCTCTAAGCTGGGAATGTCTGTAGCCAAAAGGAGCAGGCCCGAAGCAGGTGTGCGAGGGATTAAACAGAAGTTTAATTAATTTCAGAGTGAAGAAAACACTCGCAAATGGGAGTCCCCCATCCTGAGAAGGACGGCTTAACATGCTAGGGCAAAGGCAAGGCTTATCTATATCTATATAAATACTACAACACAGTCATTTTTAGGTCTTGAGTAGCAATTTCCATGGCAGGTTCTTGCATGGACAATGCAGGTGTTCCTGGGTCCTGTGGCAACAGTTGTTAAGTTGATTGACTTAAGTCTTAAGGGTTGTTGACCCTTGTGATTATTCAGTGGAGTACATAATCAGAGTTAGTGTGGAGGGAACAGAAGTGCAGTACCTGGTTCAGTTCACTTGGCTGTTATCAGAAACAGGGATTGTAAGCCTTTTAAGAGATGTGATAGATGGTCTTAGGCTGCAGCACATTGGCTCTCAGGTCCCTGGGAAATAGGGGAAGCTCCAACAAACAGTTATTCATTAATATGAAAAGCATAAATCTCTCAGTGAACACTTGGTGCTGGTCAAAGCAGTATACTTTGCCACAGGGCTAGAGCATCCAGAGTGCAAAGGATTGTTTTTATGTCAAGTTTAGGGCACAGCCTGCTTGCTGGGCCTTAGCTCTGAGAAACGGAGTCTCCGAATACCTTGACAATAAAAATAAAATTTACTGAGAAGGGTACTCAATCAAAAAAACTTTGGAGACCTCTGAGACAGAGGAGTAGAAAAGTAGAAGGGAGATAGAAGAGTGGAAGAATTGGAAGGAAAATTCTTTGTTTAGGCTTTCACTCTGATTAACTTGGCAAAATTCAAGATAAAGAGAATTAAAAGGAGTTTATTATAAGTATGTCAAGGTAGCAACATATTATTTATTGTTGGGCTGATCACTGAAGATTGTTGATGGTTTCTAGGTGGGGTCAGCTTTTATTCATAACTTTCCTAATGATAGCTTAATGTTAGCAAAATAGATTGGGCCCTTGCATCTCAATTCTTTCCTAAGATAGCAAGTACAGACAATTTGCAGGTGGGGAGTACAAACATCACAATTAGGGGTATGTGACAAAAGCAAAAAGCTACAGACTTGGTATCCCCTTTCCCAACAGAGCCTTCCCCAAAACTGATTGACAAGCAGGGGTGGGAACAATGGGTCTTTGAATCAATATAACGTTTATGTGTGTGTGTATAAATATAAATATATATGTGTATATATATCATATATATACATATATATATATATACACATAAAATCCCCCCATAAACAATTTTAACATTTTTTAAAAAAAGTTTTGAATTCCAAATTCAGTCCACCCTCCCTCCCCCCTTCCCTACCCTTACTCCTCTCTGAGACTGTAAGCAATTAGATTTAGGTTATACAAGTGCAATCAATCAATGTAACTTTCAATACAAGAAAGAAAGGAAGAAGAGATAGAATGGTACAAGAAGTGATTTCAGCCAACATAGCATAATACAAAGTGTGTTGGACCCTGCAGTAGCAGAGACCTGACTTCTAAAAGCGAGATGTGACCTTTATATGTTGCATGACTAAGAGCAAACTTTTTTTTTAATCTGTAATAAGTATCTTACTGGGCGGTTGTAAGGAACGAATGAAATCATGTATGTAAAAGTGCCTGATAAAACATAAATGTCAGCTAATGTTATGTAAGGGTGGAAGGAAAGAAGAGTGGAGGAGAGTTAAACGTGTGAAAACAGATTGAAAGTCATAAGAGTAGTGATATTGCCCGATGGTGGTCATGTGTGGGGAATATATTTAATTAGAGTGCTGGGGAGGTGCATTTCTGCACCTGCATATAATAGCTGGAGGGTTTTGGAGTCAAAGGGTTTGTTGGTTACAGAAGAATGAATGCCAGGCAGAATGTTTTTTCTTAGAGGAAAAGAGCGGGCTGCAGGAAGTGTCAAGCTTTTTCTTGTATAGAGTCATGGAGAGGGGGAGCAGCAGCACCCTTATCTCGATCCCTTGTAGTCCCTTCTTGCATGGTGGACATCTGTACAAAACCTACAGACATCCCTCCCGCCCATGGTAGGGCCAGGCTCTCCCCTTCCTCTTCGTCCCCCTTACTTATCCCTTTCTTTCCCTTGTCCTCCTCCCCCTTCTTCCCTCTTAGTCTTGTCCCCTGCCCTCCCCACCCCCACTCCCGCCGCCGCCGCCGCCGCCGCCGCCGCCGCCCCAGGCTTCTTGTCTCCTCCCACCTGGCTCTGCCAGTAGCCCAAGAACGGCCGCCTGGGGGCTCTTCAGGGAAACTAGAGTCTCCCTTTAGCCCCCTTCCTTACTCCCTCCCTCTCAGCCTTTCTCCCATTTGTTTCCTTCCGGAAGAGAGGTGGAAGGGAGGGGGCCTGGACTGCATCATTCTGCTCTGCTGCTGCAGGGCCAGAGGAGCAGGTGGAGAGGAAAGAGGGAATGCTCGCGGCGGAGTGCTGAGACTGCAGTGACGCTGCCCTGGAGAGATGGCGGCCCAGAGCCTCTGAATAAACAGAATCCCAGCCCGGCGGCCGCCGCTGCCGCCCCACAGCAGCACCATGGTGCACCGCTGCTGACCCGCGAAGGAGGGACCAGTCCCGGAGACAAATGAATGGTGCAGCAGCTGCAACCTCTTCGCGAATTTTCTTCCTTTCATTCCGTATATTAAATTTCCCTTCGAATATTCAGCCGCTGTAGTTGCTGCTGTCAGAAAAGCTTCTGGGAACACATTCATCCCTTTAACTGCCACCCCCCTTTATTTTCCTTCCCTCCTCACCCTAATTCCTCTTCCCAGCCCCACCCCACCCCCTGCATCTTTTCTTCCCTCCCGCCTCCACTCACCCCCTCCCGTTTCCATCCATCACCAGAGCTATGGCTGCAGAGGAGATATTGCAGAGCGTGGATCATTATAAGACTGAGATCGAAAGGTTGACCAAGGAGCTCACTGAAACAACCCATGAAAAGATCCAGGCTGCTGAATATGGCCTGGTGGTCCTGGAAGAGAAGCTCACCTTGAAGCAGCAGTATGATGAGCTGGAGGCTGAATACGATGGCCTTAAGCAAGAGCTAGAGCAGCTGAAAGAGGTGAGTTTCTAGTTGTCCTTTTCCTCCTTTCACTCCCCCTCCAAAACCTATCATTAAAAAGAAATAAAGAAGGGGGGTACACAGATGCATCAGTGGAAGGAGCCTTGGCTTTGAAGTCAGAGGACCTGGATTCAAGTTCTACTTCTGACTTATCTGCTTATCTACCTGTGTGACCTTGGGCAAGGCACTTAACTTTCTGGGCCTCAGTTTCCTCATCTGCAAAATGAAGGGATTGGACTAGATGACCTTTGAGGTTTATATGGTACTTGATCTATGATCCTATGAGCTGACTCTTTATCGTAATGTGAGCACAGTTGGCCAGGTGCTATTGAAAGAGTTCATTGTTTCCATGTAAGAAAAAAATGCCTAAGGAAATAAGTGTATATCTGTATATTGGAAGCATGGAGGTATTTGTGGGGGGAGGAGAAATTCGTATTTGCATTCAAGTAGAGGTATTTGAGAAGATTAAGGATGATTTGGAGGTGATAAAATAAAAATTTAAAAAGCTAATGTTTCTAGCCTGGATTGCAGTAAGAATCCTTTAGGTAATTAATAGATCTGAGTCTGGGGAAGTCACAACTTTAATTATTAAATTAAAAATACCTTAGTCATATATTTGAATTTCCTGTCCTTTAGTCATAAGGAGAAAACACAGTATTAATACCTTGCAAAGATTTAGCATCTCTTTTGCTTCTTTATTCCTGTTACACTGTACAAAAGGAAAACAACTCTTACTGGGTGATGATGTAGATGCCCTGTTTTCACCAATGAATGAGGTAGCACTCTTCAGTTTGGGCAAAGCTTCAAGGTAGAGATGAGGTCATCCTGCCCAGTAAAAATTAAACTTCATAACAAATGACCTGAAGAAAATTTTGAACTGGGATGTAACTGTGAAGTGTGGCCTTACATTTTTAAATAAGGTTATCAATTAGAAATAAGGAATTGGTAGGGATAGAGACTCGACCTTTGATTTCATTGATAAAGGGAATTCCCAGATGAGGAAACTCCCTCTATCAATGGAGGAAGGCTTCTTCTCTGTAACTTATCTTCTTAGAATGTTGCCTAGAGTACTGAAATGTTAAGAGACTTTCCAGGGTAACTTAACTTGCCCACTTGCTACACAACCACTGCTCTAGAGGATAGGTGGTATTTGATTCTCTTACCCCTCCCGCCCCTTCACCAACTCCTTCCTTTGCAGCTCTATCTACATTGCCTCTCCTAAGGTACCTATAAGACCATAATATTACAGCTGAAGTATGTATAACTCTTGTTCTACCTAATATTTGGATGCTTTTGGGTTTTGTTTGTTTTTAGTCTAGACTTAGGGTTTCTTTGCTTTTGTGCAACAGTTCTGCATTTTACAGGATTAGAGAGTTGCCTGGGGTCAGTGAGTGTTTCAGTGACTTGCCCAGCTTTAAGCAGTCTGTATATGTCTGAAAAGGAACTTGAACCCAGGTCCAGCTCTAGCCATTTCTCTACCTATGTCTTTTTTGTATATTATTCTGTGATTATTCAATAAAATGTAGCATGCTGGAGGACAACAATAAAATATTAGTCAATTTTTGATCAAGCCTTTTAAGCAATCTTATGGTAAAAATTTTTATAGTTTAGGTAAACCTTACTCCATGCTAAAAAAAAGTTCCTGGGGCTCTGGATACTTTCTTACTACATACTTATTTTTACATAGACATTTCCTATTTGACAGATGTTAATTCTTACATGTATATATATGTATGTATATATATACACACATACACATATACATATGTGTATATTATTTATTATGTGCCAGCCACTATACAAATATTATTTTACCCACAGCCCTGGGAGGTAGTTGCTATTATTCTCCCCATTTTACAGTTGAGGAAAATGAGGCAAACAGAGGTTGAGTGTCTGAGGCTAGATTTGAACTGAAGTCTCACACCAGACCCAGCACTGTATCCACTGTACCATATAGTTGTCATTTGGTAAATATTTGTTGACTTGAATTGTATTAGGAAATACATTTTTAAAAGAATGGTAAAAAAGAATTGTAAAGACGTGTTAAACTTTATGATTAAAAAAAATAAATGGCTGTTGTGGAAACATACTAACCCTCCTTCTCATATTCACTCTTTTAGAAATATGAAGTGATATTATGGAAACCCTAAAAGTCCTTGATGTTTGGTGCTAAGCAGACAATATCCTGGTCTAAAATCTTTTATAAATCCTTATCAAACTCTCCCGTTTTTCCAACTCTTCTTTTACTGTTGAAGGTAGAACCATTCTCCCAATTATCCAGGCTTTCAGATTTTGTCATCCTTGATTCTTCACTCACATTTACCCCACATGTTCAAGTCTTATCAGATCTACTTTCACAACTTTTCTTCTTTCTTCCCCTTCTCTCTACCCAGGTGCAGGTCCTCATCACCTCACTGCATCATCTTTCTTTATTCTGATCCAATCTCTAATGGGAGAGGCCTGATCAGCTGTGGAAAAAAAATCTATGAAATTGATTTAGAGTAATAATCAGTTTAAGATCAAGAATATCTTTTGATTCATTGAATTAATAGAAATGTCTTTTGAGTTCACCTTTGGCCAAATTATAAGAAAAATCCTTAGAGGGACTGGTTAAAGAGGACATTGAATAGTTTTTGGAAAATGATTCTCCAGGGTGTGCCAAAAGTTAAATTACTATTGCTCTGTTTGATGAATCAGAAACTGTTGCCTAAACGTTATTCACTTGTTTAATCTTGATTATGGAATTTTGTCTTTCTTCATGAGCCCCATAAACTGTGAACAGAAAATGGCTTAGATCAGATGGGTTTTCAAAAGGAGAATGGATCTCTCTTCCTTTAAATTCCTCTCTAATCAGAGATGCTTTGAATAGAATTAATAAATTTGTTTCTGATAGACTTCTGCCTAAAAAGGCAGAGTGCTGAGTTTTCCTTCTCTACTATCCAGAGAAGCAAGCTGGTGGAGGGAATTGTGTTCTAGACTTATAATCAAGAAGACTTGGGTTCATATCCTGCAACTAATACTTATTAGTGAGAGTCAGACAACTCTCTAAGTCTCTCTAAGACTCAATCATAGAATGTTTTTGATCGCATTGGTTGATGGAGTTACCACAACCCCAAAATCACAGATTTTTGATGTATTCAGTGTATGTGTTGGCTCTACTAATTGCCTATTTAAATAAACTAAATAAATTTCAGCATGTGTTCTTGAGAGAAAGGTATATACATATATATACGTGTATGTGTGTGTATATATATATGTAGAAAGAAAGAGAAAGTGAGAGGGAAGGAGGGGAGAGAGAGAGAGAGACAGACAGACAGACAGATTGGCATTTATTATCAGCTGTGGGCTAGACACTATACTAAATGCTTTACAATTATTATCTCATTTGCTCTTATCACCGTAAATTGACAGCAGTCATGATGCAAGCAACTGTAGTAGTACAGTATTAGTTTATTTCTATGATTTCCTTCATGTCATCTTTCCTGAAAAAGATACCTTTTGGATAAAATATGTTACTTAGGAAATCTTTATAGTTTTGCAAATAGATCTACTATTGATCACAATTTTATTTCAAAGAAAATATGGCTTTCAGCGAGTGATGTCGTTTTATCACAGCTCTTAGGTTTAAAAGCACCTTGATTGATTTCTTAGTTCTTTCCAAATACTGTTCTAGTCTAAAGATTGAATCAGTTATGAGGAATATACAAAAGAAAATATTTATTTTACCTTGGATAGCTATGGTTTGTCAATGGTGATATGTAGTTTAGTCTTGGCAGGTAATTTTATTTTTGATGTCAGCACACAAATATTTTCACTGTTCTTATTACCTTGTGTGGTAGCCTGTGTCTGACTCAGCCCAGTTCTTTGATACTTTAGTTCTGATATTGGAATAAAACAAAATACTCAGCTCATTTATCAACCCCTGTAAATTGTAAATTGAAAATGTAGTAGGTCAGAGAGATTTTCAAAAGCAAGATAGATCTCTTTCCCTTTGGATTTCTCTCTCTTTAAGGAGAGATGTTTCAAATAGAATTAATAAATTTCTTTCTTTAATTTTAAATTTTTTTTTTAGGCCATTGGGGTTAAGTGACTTGCCCAGGGTCACACACAGCTAGTGAATGTCAAGTGTTTGGTCTGAGGCCGGATTTGAACTGAGGTCTTTCTGATTTCAAGGCCAGTGCTCTATCCATTGTGCCACCTAGCTGTCCCCAATAAATTTCTTTCTGAAAGCCTTGTTTCCAAATCCTGTTGATTCTTCCTTTTCAGCATCTCCCATCTGACACTGCTACTACCTTGGTAAAGGCCCTCATCACCTCATATTTGCGTCATATTATCTGTAATACCATCATATTACAGTAGGCTTCTAGTTGGTCTCCTTTTCTCAAGTCTCTCCTTGTTCTAGTTCATCCTCCATTCTGCTATCAAAACAATCTTCCCAAAGCAGGTCTGACCATATCAGCCTCTACTTCATAAATTCTTTTGCCCTCTCTATTACTTGAAATATCAAATATAAAATCCTATGTTTGACTTTTGAAGTCCTTCATAATCTGTCCCCTTTCTGTGTTTCCAGCCTTCACTTCTCCATGTGGACTCTTGCTGTTCCTGGCATTAGATACTCCATCTCCCCACTCCTTCCTACTTTTCCAGTCTTCTTACACTTAACTCCCCTCCACATACCATATGATCAGTGATATTAGAATTTTTGATTTTCTTGACAAAAGATGCTCTATACCTTGACTGAAGTTTTACTGGCTATTCCCAATGTTTAGAACTTTCTCTCTACTCACCTGTGTTTCCAGGCTTCCATGGCTTCCTTCAAATCTCAGATTTTAGATTTTAGGCTGTCTTCTTCAAGAAGCCTTTTCTGGTTCCCTTTAATATAATCATTTCCCTCTGTGATTATTTTTCAGTTTGTCATATCTATCTATCTTGTTTGTGTATAGTTGTTTGTATATTGTCTCTCCCATTAGCTTGTGTGCTCTCTGAGGGCAGGGTTTGTT